CAAGACAAAGAGGAACAACAATACGTAATGTCTATTAGTCACACTGTTTCTGGCAAATACAACCAATGATAATAATGCAAATGTGCTGGAACTCAAGATTTAAGAGATGCTTTCAGTGACTCCCCAATGACTTATTCTGGGAGATTTAGATGGATTTTGGTCAATTTCGATGGACCAACTGGTGGGTTTTTCTTTATTCGCGTAAAGCAAAACCCCAAACGTGAGACTGTGATGAAACGTGCAGTGAGGCCGTCTTGCTTTCGGGTATTCTCCCGTTTCTCCTTCATTATCTCTGCTGAGTCAACACTCACGAAGGCCTTACTCACACTTCCCTTTGTTTGAGCGTGCAGGTGGCCCACACCCACCGCAATGAAACATTCATTTCATCTGAATTCATTCATGCACCTCAGAAGTGTCTCAGAAAGCAATCTGCTCACGTTGGAAACTTTCAGAACATTTACCAGATTTCTTTCGTCTCTCAGGAGTCGGAATATTTCGAGAGGAACGTACAATTACGATAAGACGAAAAGCAGTAATATAATGAGAATAAAGTCATAATATTTATATATAATAAGTCAATTTGGTCCATTACACCCGACTTACGGCAACACCACCTGCACCGACACCAATGGCAATTTATCTATTCATCACAACGATTACATTCGTTAATGATTATTTCATTGCTGCCTGTTTTAGTTATATTTTTTATCAGTACACGTTGCACAGGTTGTACACATTCAGAAGGCTGCACCCGTTCTCCTGGTTCCCGCCTGCAGAACCGGCTGCATCGACGGATCGTCAAGAGAAAACTCCACACACTTCCTGTTTCCCTGCCGGGCTTCACTGGCAGCGAAATGAATAACACACGGTCTCCATTTAATTTGAAGAGCAGCCTTAATGGGGCGCTTTTGCGCGGCGGTTCCCGGCGTGCCCGCGGTTTGAAGCTGCTAATGGACCGCGGTGAACCGGCGTGAGGGGCAAAAAACGCTGCAGACGTTCACGCTACTCACACGTTAAGGAGCGTGCAAATTGACTGGTTCGTTTACGCAAAGCAACCGAGAGCAGCGGCGGCGGCGGCAGCGGCCCAGAGATGAAAAAGAATCTCCTGTGACTTCAGACGCTGCCAGCTAGACTTTAGGAAATGGCAGCGAAATGTGACGGGAAAACACGCGCGTCGGCAGCCGGAGAGAAGCGGTGAAAAGTTCTGCGCGTTTTAAAACGCTCCATTAAGTCGAATGTCTACGTGGAAGATGAGCTCACGGAGATTGTGGCGCCAGTTTGGGCTCTTTTGCTTTGGCCGACTGTTCGCCTCGTTGTCTAAACGGCGCCAAGACGCAGAGCGTCAAAGACGTTTCCGCCACTTGGAGGAAGAAGAACGGCGATTTCTCCACGGCTGGCCAGCTGTGGCTACACACCCAGAAGATAAACGCCAACAGCTGGTGCCCGACGTGGATGAGATCTCCTTCCGCCTCCCCGGAGCACCGGCACGCGTCCGCCTGCGCCGCAGTGTTTGCCTGGTGACGGGATTTCCGACCCGTTAAACCCCCCCGAGGAGTAAAACACGGCCTCGCCGTGACCGCACAAGCGTCCGCCATCCCACGCAGATGTACCGATTTACAGGCGAGGTCGTGACACTGCACGGCCGCTGCCGTGTGCTCCATGCGATCTCATCATCGGCTCGGAGCGGCGAGGTCGTGACCCCCGCTGATGAGCCGCAGCCACTTACGCTAACGAGCAATTACGTGCGTTAAAGCGGCGGACGGTTTGGTGGCGGACAGAACGCTGAGTGAGTTTTCCTAACGAGCCGGCGGTTGAACACGGGCCCGTGTTGAAGAGTCCGGGGAGTTATGAGAGCGAGGAGGGCGTCCGCCCGTCTGTCCGTCTTTGGTTTTTTTAAAACAACGGTGAAGAAGAATCCGACGGCCCTCCTCGCGGAGGCAGATGGCTTCCCGTTTGCCACGTGATCCAGGAGCATGTGGCCTTTTTTTCACCGTCTGGGTAATTTCATCACTCGGCTTATTTGCTGATCAACAAATCAATTTGTCTGTTTGCGTTGGAGGAAAAAAAGAATCTAAGATGTGATTTCATTCATTTTCTTGTGGGGTTGTTGTTGCCTTTTCGTCTCTAACGAGCAACAAAAGCTGCGGAGGAATCTCACCGTGCAGGACGCTTAATCAGGAAATAATTGATTTGCATGTTCAGCTAATTGAGTTGTTTGAAGTGGGGGGGGGCGGGGTCTCACGCTGCCGAGCGCTACCTGAAGACGCCTCGAGATCTGTCGAAATGTTGATATTTTTTTCAGGGGCTGGGGGGGGGGGGGCGGCTGTAATAAATGGCTTGAAATTGGAAATCTAACACGATTTGAGATGCTAAGGAAGAACATCTCTCTCACGCTGCCTGGCGATGAGCCCGGGGGGGGAGTGAGGGGGGGTGACGGCAATTCAACCCTCCGTTTGTTTGCGCGATGGATGTTTTGAGCAAATTGATAACAACAAGCAACATGAGGAAGAGGCGACGGTCCAGGCCGATGAACACGTGGTTAGCATCTCCCCTCCTGCGCGGGCCGGCACGCCAGCAGAAGCCCACCGGCGGCGGCGTGGATCGGAGGGGTTGCGACGCCGCGAGCCGCGTTTGGCTGACGGAGCACCCCCCCCGCCTCCACTCCAATAGAAGCCTCCACCCAGCCCCCCGCCTGCCGGGAAGAGCGCTTGAAATTCTCCAGCTGCACGCATGAAAGGTAATGGAAAATGATATCCGAGGTGTGTGAATGGCGGCCGTGACGTTCGGGGATTTCACGCCGCGGCGACGGGGGGGCTGAGGTGAATAAGTCGCCAGCCGGCGTTGAGATTTGGTATTGTGTCCCCGGCTGGAGCCGAGCCCGTTTCATCCTCTGTGAGCCGCTCCATAGTCAGGGGGACTCTAATGAGGCAGGGGGGGGGGGGCACATATTAAGGGGAATGTCCTTAAACTAAACGGAGTTGGGCCTCCAAATTCAATGAGTAAAAATGAGTCTTTGTTGCAGCTTCAGGCTGGTGTGGGGGGCACGGGGGGGGCATAAGGCAGGTCTGCTCGGCCTGCACAGACGACGAGTGAACGCGGGGGCAACGACGGCAGCGGGGGGGCGGGGGGTTCACATCTCCACGAGGCAAAAACCTCCCGCTCACGGGGCCTTCTCCTCCTGCTGCATCTGCAGTTTGACCTTTGCCTCCCCCCTCGAGAAACTGGAGAAACAACCTCCATCTGGTTGAGCTCTACATGTTTGTCAAGTGGTTCCTTGGGATGTTGAAGCTCAATCCTTCACGTGCGAGTTACCGGCCGTTGGTGGATCGTATACATTTGTGCAAAAGCAGTGGAACAAGGTTCATTAGAGGAGCCGTTTCTCTTCGTGTTCAGGGAAACATTTTGATGTCGCTTTGAAGCTCCTCTTCTGGTCCTTCTGGTTTCCGGGACGTTCTGTGCGGAACAAGGAACGTCACCCTTCGGAGCCTTTTGGGTTGCAGCCTTGTCTTTGTAAACGCGGACGGACAGGACGATCACAGGGGATGAAAGAGAAAACGCACACGCACACACGTACACAAAAGCCTTTGTTTGAATCTCCACTTGACATTTGCTCGTGCATTTTATCAGACAGCTGCGTGCAGCCAGAGATCAACTTCCTGTGTCTGTGCATCTCTAATTAGTGCTAATTCGCACACATGAAAACAAGCCCAGCGCCGTTTGTTTGATGTCTCGCAGCTCATTTTTTAATTGTTTCCAAGCAGCCGCCGCTTTCCTGATTTAGTGGATCGGTGCTCTGGATTCAAGGTTGGTCTCCAACCAGCCGAGTGAGGCGACACACTGCCCCCTGGTGGACGTCCCCTCGCGCAGGTCCCATAAAGGGATCAGCTGGAGGGACCATTTCAGCACTTTGAATTATAATTTATATACATACATATATAATCGTGGATAAACTATGGAGCCCGACCCGATAAAAGACAGATGTTATTTTCCTTCTATGTAATTGTAAAGTGTATGACTTTAAAAATATTTTCACTTCAGGAGTTGAATAGCCGGTCAGAGTGTGTGTGTTTGTGTTTGTGTGTGTGTGTGTGTGTGTGTGTGTCCTGAAATGACGGACCAATGGCTGGCCCCCAAACTATATTTGTGATGTCATAAAATTATAATAAAATTCGGATTTAAGGAGGGGTCGTTGTGGCGCAGGGGTTAGAGAAGGTGTGCTGGGAAGCACAAGGTTGGTGGTTTGATTCCAGGCTGCCCCATGTTCCATGTCGAAGTGTCCCTGAGCAAGACTCCTAACTCCTAATTGGTCCCCGGGCAAAAATGTGTTTAAAGTGTAACACTTGGATAAAAGCGTCTGCTAAATGACCTGTAATGTAATGTAAGGCGAGAACCTTGATGAATGTAGCTTCTTGTGTCAAACGCTCCACTTCATTCTGCAAAGCGAAGGTCAAACATCTCAAGCCAATATTAATAAAATGCATTTGCCAAACGCTGCTCAGAAATAATAACCCTCTCTGGAAGGACTCGACTTATGAAGATACGTGTGTATTTTGAAAATGGCACTGAACCCTTTATCCACGAGAGAGTTACTATGGCGATAACTCAAAAGGTGCAGGTGGATGTGAGGACGGAGACACCACCCCGATGGCACTAAATGGTGCAATAGATACTGTGGAGTCCGTGTCAATCTGCCAAGTGCTGCCGGTAGGAGGCAACACATGGTTACACAATTTGACCAAATGCGTCAGTGTTTGAGACCCGAAACGTCTTCATTCTTTTTCACCGCTAGTCGGATAGTCGGATCCTACGTTACATCAAGCTACTCGCCAACGTCCCGGCTCTATTTACCACGTTTTATTCCCATGTGACACACACACACACTCACCTAATCCTTCCCTTGTGTGTTCTGTCACTTTTAATGAGTGTTCCCGGGGGCCCCGTCTTTCTGGAAAAACGCACCGTCTGTCCCTGATTGCAAGTTTCAAAGAAAACGCCTTTGGTGGTGCTTAAAACTATTTTTTTTTTATTTATCTTTTAACACAAAAAAAAGTAGAAGATCAAAGGAGTTGATGTTGGATTGCAGACAGATTTTTTTTTTCGTGATTTTAGCTTCAAGCTGAAGAACACGGAGGTAAGTTTCCACGGCGGCTGAAGGAGGAGCAGCGGAGTCTGCGTCTAAACGACGGTGACATTAAGAGCTTCGCCTTTTCTTTACTAACTTTGCACCCAACGAAAACAAGCGGATGTTTCCTCTCATTTCTCAGGAATAAAAGTTGTTTTGACGTCGCAGTGAAGCGACGAAGCCCCTTTTTGGTCACAGAAATACCGACAAAGGGCTGCAGGCTGGTTCCTCAAGGTCACACTGCGACATTGTCAAGTCTCTGATGTCGACGGGCAGGTTCAACGAGGTTCTTCAGCTGCACACATCTCTCCGATTTGACAAACGGGATTGACCGGAGGCCTCGGACACACCGGACGGCCCTCGGTGTGTCCGACCACCTCGACCGGGGGAAAAAACGGCGGCCCCCTCGGGCTCGAAACCGCGCGGCCTCACTTGGCCGCGTAGGCCGCCGCTTTCTTCTCCAGGCTGTGGGCGAAGCGGTGGTTGAGGAAGAGGAGCTGCTCGTGAGGAAGCAGGCGGCTGAGCAGAGCGTCCACGCGGTGGCTCCTCAGCAGGACCTGGAAGGGCGATTAAAAAGAAAACAGAGGTTCCGTACAGGTTTCTTTTCCAAGCAAATTTAATACACATTTATTAAGCATTCACAGCGGCGGGACGTCCAAATGCATCATCGCTCACCTCGCTGCCCGGCCCCAGCATGTGCAGAGTCTCCAGGCAGTGCCGGGTCAGGTTCCGCAGGGTCCCCTCGGCCAGCAGGAGGTTCTCGTGGGGCTCGCAGACCAGCGTGAAGCCCAGGCTCTGCACGGCCAGCCACAGGGCGCTCGTCTCCTCGGGGAAGGGGTCCCCGGCCCTCAGGCGCACCGCTCCGCCGTCGGCCTCCTGCAGGGCGAGCGCCTCCTCGCCGGGCACCGCCTCCACCGGCGGGCGACCCGAAGCCTCCCGAGACAGAGAGGCGGCGCCGCGGACCTGCCTGAGTCGCAGAAAAAAATGTATTGAATTGACAATTACATGAAATAAAAGAAAAGAAAATACTAGATTTCAGAACTTCAGTCAAATGTGATAAAGCTTCATTTGGCTGCTTGATCTCACAGTGCAGAATTTTACCACCACACATACATATTAATAACGGTGTGCAACTGATGTGTTTAAGGGCTGCTTTCCCTTCAGGCTGGTAAACAAACATGAGAAATACACAAATGAAGCATCACTCTGTTGTGATTACTTGACACGAAGCCGTAGAAAGTGATTCTTTGCTTTTGACAGCAGTAATCAGCAGTTACAGGCTGCCGTGTGGGAGATGAGGAAAACACACACGGTGAACTAAAACCCCTTTCGCTGAAAACAAATTAGGCGAGGGCAAAAAAAAATGATTGACAGCCTCCACCGGCTTTGTTTGATGCTTTTGACATTGTGTGCAATCAGGGAATCAGCAGGACGCAGAAGGAGGTGGAGGTAATACAGTGGAACGCCGGAGGGGGGCGCTGTTCTCAATTGTAAAAAAAAAGAAAAAAAGAAAAGTTAAATACCTAAAAATAGAGGAATCAAGAGGAATAACAAGGGAATGAGTGACATCCTTCACATGAGGGGTTTGCCAAAGAGTCCCGTTAACAACCACCCACCTCGCCACCACCATGATCTTCTCCTTCTGCAGGACTCGCCTCTCCTCGGGGCTCAGCTCCCGGTTCCGGTCGGACCCGAGACCCTCGTCGGGACCGAAGACCCGGGAGTAAAGCACCCGGCTCTCCCCGGGGCCGAGCGCAGCGACCGGGCAGACGGTGTGGATCAGGAAACAGCGAACCATGCTGAGCGCCCACCGTGCACCGTGTTTACAAACGGCGCTGCCGATTCCTCACTTCCGGGTTGGTCAGCTGACCGCTCTTGGTAACCGCTGCTACGCGCTGTCTGAGCCACCAGATGGCGCTCGCATATTATATTATATTAATTACATATTATATTTTTTATCATAAGAAATCCTGTTAGATTAGATTAAAAGTTAGACTCAGATTTATGTTCGTGTTTTTGTTTAAAATGGCAGAAAATTGAGATGCAGAAGAAGCTGCAACCAGTGAATTCCTTTGTCTTTTCTTCTTAAAAAACAGAACTAATTGTGATCGGCTCGACCTCAACCGGATTAGAAGGAACTGAGAGATTGAGTAAGTGTGGAATTGTTGTGAGGATGAGTGAGCGATCAGACCACAGATTGTTTCGGGGGTCTCAGAAGACAAACAGAGGCAGCTGCTAACGCAACAGCTGCTGCTGGTCACGCTTCTTTACTCTGAGAGGCCCCTCTCTGTTCTCTGTGTGTGTGTGTGTGTGTGTGTGTGTGTGTGTGTGTGTGTGTCTGTGTGTGTGTGTGTGTGTGTGTGTGTGTGTGACAGGGAGGGGAAGAAAAGAAATAACAGAAGACGTTCACTCCACCGTCCTGTTGACCTCCTCGTCCTCCGCATTAACCTGAGACAGCGATGTTTGACTTTATTTTTACATTCTCTGCTTTTGTCATTTTTTGCAGCTGTAAGATGAGAGCAGCATGTGGTTCGGTCGTTTTAAGGGATAACAATGTGGGTCTCTGCCCCACTTTTGTCCCTGAAGCACCTCAGATATTGAATTAAAGAGATTTATGGTCCCCAGCAGATGAACCTCAGTGAGTTTGTACCCTATGGTTGAATGTGCTTATTGTACGTCACTTTGGATAAAAGCGTCTGCTAAATGACATGTGATGTAATGTAATGTAGATCAAAAACTAATGAGAGGAATCAGAGCTTCCCCTTATTCCTCTCTTCATCCTATGCTCACTAACTCATGACCACAGCTTCATATTAACTCAAGCCCTTCATCTGAAAAGGTGTGGACGAGAAGTATCCTCGTGTGATGATTAACCCACAGCTCGTTGCAGGCGAGTAATGATCAACCACAATCAGTGTGACAAAGTGAAAGTAGAGCCAGATTTCGGCTTGTCAGAGATACGATTTTTAAAAAGCAGAGGTGAGCGAACCGCACACAAAAAAAAGTTCCCCTCTGTTGAAAACACACCAGCTGACTAAGAACAACAACAGGATGTGGGCGACGGGGAGGACCAACGACAGCGCGGCCCGCGGCTTTGAAATATGGGAAGCTAAGACAACAACACGCGACACCCAAAAACATCCTGCGTGTGTGTCGACATCGTCTCCGCCTGCAGAGCAGAAGAACAGTTTTAATCCTCCATAACATTTAAGGAGCCCGTTCAAACGGGGGCCCCGCGCCCTTCCTTTAGAAACCACAGAGCCCTCGTTGCCAGTTTACTGTCGATGGGGGTCTCAGAGGTGACACCCTGCGAGGGCACCTGTGAATGAGCCAGGCAGCTGCCCTCAGGACCCCGGGGTGTGTGGGGGGGGGGGGGAAACAGGACAGGCCTGGGGTACAGAGGGGCCGGTTTTTGCAGGGGGACTGTTGGATTTCAATCTCACTCCAGGGAGAGCAGGCCATCAATGCTAACCATGACGCTAGCCACGATGCTAACCAGCAGCTGCATTCATGCACACCCGTCGTGAGGATGCTGACTCATCGCAGGTCGCACGACCGGCTGGAAAAAAAAAAGCTACGAGTCGAAACTTGAAATGGGGCAGCGGCTCGACAGCGGGGGAAGGTTGTGACTTAGAAAATATAAAATGGCAGTCGGTTAGCCTAGCTTAGCATAGGGAATGGAAACCGGGAAACAGCTGGCAACAGAAACGAGTCTGATACTTTGGTTAATCCGAAGAAAATCAATATTCCCATTTGACGGTCTTGAAGTTACCGAATTGATTGAAATCAATCTTCTCAAGCAAATGTGTCTCCTGAAATGTCACGCTGTTACTTTAACTTGAGTGTAATTACGTCAAATTTAAGAGAAAAATAACGATCACGCGCATCGATAAACTGAACAAAGACCTTCAGACAAAACACTTAACATCCCGATTTTATACGTAGTGATGAATTGATAAACAAGCCAATCAGAAACAGCACACATTAAGAGTCTTTTGTACGTCTTTTTGGCGCCTCCAGCTCCTTAATTGTTTCGGGTTTAAGAGACCTGCATGGACTCATCTACATTTTAAAACCAGCTGTTGAATGGGCAAGCGAAGCTCCTCTCATGAGGCCCCTGCAAGTGTTGCATTATGCATGTCCGGTGTGAAGGTGAGAGGCCCCGTAAACATCAGCCAATTTGAATGGAAAAGACTCATTGACAAATACTTGTTAGGACCACAGAGTTGGAGCATTTTCAGTCACATTGCTCAACACAGCGGACCAGCGCTGTGTGTCGAACCGCGGTGCTGTAAATGAGTGTTTAGCCGTGTGAAGTGCAGCTACAGGCCCGACCCGTCCGCCTCCCACGCGGCCGATGGGGAAACCGCCTGATTTCAAACGTTGGCAGAGCGCCGCGCTTTTACAGTCAGAGCGGTCACGTGTTTACAGCAGGAGGCGCCTCGGACTTTTGTCTCCTTTGCTGTCGGGACACGCCGGAGGGGAACGGCCTCCCCCGGCATACAGGAATGTGGATCTGTATGCGCGGACGCGCGCTGCAGCAGAGGAGGAGACGCCCAACGCCTCAGAGGGAGAATCTGAACAAAACAGGAACTGCAGTGTGTGGGCGTCCTGCAGAGAAGACCGAACACAACGGCAGATGTTCTATCCGGAGGGTTCAGATGTGGAAAGGCTAGTTTGCGACCTTGAATTAAATCCAGAGGTTCCATAAATCTGGACTGTAAACAGATGTGTGAAGCAGTGTTTTATAGAAGCGTTTATTTCAATTTATTACCTCTTGTAAATTTGAAAAGGCCGTTACTATTCCCAGCAGAGTTTAAGTGAACTGTACAGTAACATTTCATTAATCATTTACTGCTAGAGAGCCGGATTGTTGCATAATGTAACTTGACGAATCGCATTGCAGCCTTTTATCAAAAAGCTGGTGAACTAGACAAAGATAAACAAAGTCCAGGTTTCACTCAGCAAATAAATCAATAGTCACATCTTTCCCCAAAGAGACGGTTCCCACTTTGAAGCATAAAACTCAACAGTTTGTTTAATGTGGGTGCTTCTTGTGTCAAGACGCCGCACATCCGACGAAATTAAGCATTTGCACAAATAAAAACATGTATAGTCCTGGAGGTATTGAAAACATTTCAAATATCTATGTAAAACAAATTTGACAATTAAAGAGAAAAAAAATGCTCGACATCAGTTGAACACACATTGGCTCTTTATTTCAACAGCTCCCCCGACGAGCTCGTAGCAAAATATTCAAACCACCCCGTTCATTATAAACTGACATCACTAGAGGGGAAGACACGTTTGTCTGGGAAGATTTAAAAGTGGAATCAATGCGAACAAAGAGCAAAACTCCTCACACTTGCTGACCTGCAGCATCAGACACATCTCACTGCGCAGTTAACAGGTAGTACGTTTTGGCTTTGGCATCTTCTGAGTGAACGAATACCGAGTATTGCAACTGTTTAGGAGGTAGAAGGAAAATAGCTAATTGTCATTGAAGTAGCTAACTTGCATTTTGGGACACCTAGAAAAAGGGCATACAGATCAATGTCTAAACGGGGGAAACTTCATTAAAATATATATATATAAAAGCAGTATAAAAAAAAGGGGGGGGAAAAAAAGCACCTCACCATTTCAAAGGGTATTTAAATTAAGTGCTTCCATAAAAAGGTGGGACATGACAACGTAAAAAAACTAAGAAATCCAGGGGGGGGGGGGGGGGGACTGCAGGACGACCTTCAGACGGGTGGTGTGGTTCCTTTGTATTATTGCATTCTGGATTGGTGCTGCAAACCGCAGCGTAATACCACAGCGGTCAAACAGAAAGTAGGTCCAAGTGGTTCTTAAAAACGAGCGCCTGTGTTCACTGCACCTCGGCAACCACGTCAGGCCCCGCCCAGTCGGCCCCCGCGCGGAGATTTGCATAAATAACTAACTTTGCTATAGTTAAATGAAACTTTTAGGGACTTCATGAAATCCCCTTCTGGTGGCACAATCCCAGAAGGCGTTTCCTCATTGGGGGTGAGAGTAGTTCGGGGGGGGGGGGCAGTGTGTACAGAGGCAGTTGGGAGGTGCTCAAAGCTTCTTCAGTCGGCTGTACAGGTCTCTCTTGCTGCGCTCGCCGGCCCACGTGCGACTCTTGAGGCGAAACTTCCTCAGGTCCTCCTTGAAGTCCTCGTGGTGCATCGGCCGGTAGGCCTGAGGTTCACATTGCGACTGCGTGGGAGAGAACGGGACGAGTTCAAAACTACTGTTACAAAACCAGAGATAAAAAGGTCACGAGTATTTACTCAACTGGGGAGGACGGCTCACCCAAGAGCTGCAATAGATTCAAATGGTCGTGCAATGATCATGATCCGAATCGCTCAACAAAAGCAGCCGTGTTCCTTCGGTCAACAACAGTTTAAGTGAGGAAGCTGACGCAAAACAGACCTGGAAATGGGGGAAGAAGTCCTTGTACCCGCCCTTGAGGATGTAGAGCTCCGGGTAGTGCAGGACGGGGTACTCGTTGACGGCGCGGTCTCGCTCGCGGACGAAGCGGCACATTCGGGGGCCGCGCTCCGACGAGAACTCGCAGTGGAAGATGATGACGACGCGCTTGTCCGGGCAGGACGGGACGATGGGCGCTTTGAGGAGGAAGTCCTCCACCTGGTCCTCCTGGTGCAGGTTCAGAGCGCCCTGCGCCGACAAAGACCAGCAGACTTAGGACCAAGTCTCCTACAGACAATCACTTTCCCATTGTGCCGGGTAAACGCTCTAGAAAGAGATTCTCGCTCACCTTGATGTGACCCCCGTCAAACTCGTAGGGGTAGCGGCAGTCCATGACGATCACCTGCTCGACCAGCTGATCGAACTGGGAGGACAGAGCCGCCACCATCTGAAGAACCACAGAGAAAAGTTATTTAGAAACATGGCCGACGGCGCACGCAGCGCGGCTCACGTTAGCGCTGCACTCACCGTGTCCGGAGTGATGTACTTGAGGTCTTGGTGTTTTCCTTCCACGGTCGGCAGCACGAAGGGCTGAAGGACAAAAAACAAAGACGGGATTAGACGAGTCGTTGCACGCGGTCCGGTCAGCAGAGGGAGGAACAGAGCGGCGGCCATGTTACCTTGGTGAAATCTCCTATCAGCTCGCTGGAGCCGTCCTCGCCGTCCAGCAGCTTCTCGATGTCCGTCTGGCAGCAGGACTTTGACCTCTGGAGCAGTGAGCAGCTCTGGAAGGGAAGACGAGGCGATTTGAGAACGTCTGCAAAGCAGTTTCTCCACTTCCTGTGAACCGGTTTCCACCCCTGTGGACTCGGGGCTGAGCGTTTGCATTCTAGTCAAAGGATCTCTAGTGTCACACAGGAAACGCTTCGGTCCGGCTCCACGCCGGGGGGCGGCGGGGGACTCACCAGTCTCGGGGATTCGGGGTTCTGTTCCACGCTGGTGACCTGCGTTCCCGCCACGCTGCGCCGCCTCTTCACGCGGACCGGCGTGTTCTCGTCCCCGGGGTGGTCGGGCCGCTTGGCGCAGGGGCGGGACGGGAGCGGGCCGGGCGCGGAGGGGGAGCGGAACAGGCTGCGCGGTCGGCAGTGGATCACCGGCTGAGGGAGGAAATAGAAACGATCAAACTCAACGGGGCGTTTGTTTTACGAGCTTAAGAAACGCAGCGTGACGCAAACGTTTTAGCGTCTGGATTCGTGCGTCGGCGTCAGACACAAAGAAGCCATCTTTTGTTCGCCGGTGGACGAACTTACAGAGTCTTCTCCCGAGCCGTCGGTCACCAGCGGGGCCGTGAGCAGGCTCGCCATTCCCATCGGCATCGCCGAGTCGTTCTGGGGGAGACGAGGTCACCAAACGTTAGTGACAAGGACAAAAATAAAAATAAAAACTAAAGTGGGACGTTCTGATGATTGAGCGTGCGAGCGAGCGAGACTCACCTCCATGTTGTCGTCCAGAACCTCCAGGAAGCCGTCGTCCTCGTCCTCGTCGGTGAGAAGCGACGGGCGCCTCACGAACACGGGGCTGGAGTCGAAGAAGTCGAGGTGCTGGATCGGAGGCGGCGAGAACTGGACGAGAGAAAAGAGGCGTGTTAGCGTCTTTCCAGGAGCGGCAGCCGTGCACAGCCCTGAAGGCTGGGGGGGGGGGGGGGGGCGGGCTCTCGTACCATGAGGGCCGGCGCCGAGCTGGGCCGGCGGGCGAACGCGTCCTTGCTGCGACTGCCGTTGAAGGAGCGAATGCGGCAGCGGGACACCGGCTTGGTTGGTTTCTTGAATTCAAAGCCCTCCTGAGAAATAAATTAATAAATAAATATATAATTTATTATAAATAAATAAATTTTTTTAACATTAGCAACCGCTAAGCTACAGACACACCATAAGATACCGTATCCTGTGATTGGCTTAATCTCCCTTTAAAAATAACTCCTGATATGGTTATGAGAAGTATTCCACTAATCCATACGATGCAAAGCTTTCACCACGGCAACAAATGGCTTGTGTGCGCATTACATAAGTTCTGCGGTTGCTAGAGAGTCTATGACATCATCACTGACCTCGGGCATGTTTTCCTTGTTCTCGCAGTGAGAGCTGGTGGCGGCCGACATTTTGGAGGGTGGCTGTCCAAATATTCCATAGCGGTGGGAATCCGTTTCCTGTCCTTTTAGAGATGGACTGTAGCACTGGAGCTGGAGCTGAAGGGGGCAGAAGGGGGGGGGTGGGGGGGGGGGGCAACCATAAACAAGCCGTCCTGAAAAAGCAGGTTTTAAACTCATTAAAAATGAAAAAGTGCATTCAAAACAAATTGTTGTTTCATGATTCATAGCAGGTTTATTTTATCACGAGGAATTTTTTGACATTGTGCTTTACGGATAACAGCCAGTTTAACACCACTTCAATCAGCCTTAAGGCCTATAAAAAAAAAAATAAGAGTGATAAATGTACTTACTGGCAATGAGTTGATTCTTCTGATGGGCATCCTCCTGTGATTCATAGAAGACAGGACACGTTGTGGTGAATACAAACCAAATAAAAACAGGCTACAGGGCAGCGTTTGACGGCTAAGATACGGTTTGCTCTCTAAAGAGTTCAAATAAAATCCACTAATGGGGTTCTGCTCTATGAAACTACTTACTCGTTGACAACTCTGCTCGACTGTTGAATGGCCTTTTCAAATCTGTAAAAAAAAAAAAACACATAATTCAAAATCGGCATTTGAATAAAATGATCAGAAAGGAAAAATAAGGACGCAACTAACAATGAAAAGATAGAAAAAGCACAAAGGTCGTAAACAACTTTTACATTTTAAGCGACAAAATTAGTCACCATTACTTTTCGGCGCAAAACGTCTTCATGAGACCTACGGAGGCCGGAAGGCACCTTGTGCTCTTACAACACAGATAAAAGAATCTGGAGGACCGGTTGGGGCGAGAGGAAGTGGGGTGAATGGACGGAGAGGGGGGGGGTCTCTGGGTCCGAGCAATGCCCACCTGTATGCTAAATGAGCAGAGAGCTGCGTTTGAGTGGGGGAGGGAGGGAGGATGGGGGGGGGGGCTGCAGAGATCAGCTAATCTACCACATGCCTGCTGGAGCAACGCCGCCAACCCCTTTTCTGCAAGAGCCTTTTGTTAGTGGAGGAGAGAGCGTGTCCCATTCAATGCAGACCGGGAGGAGGGAGGGCAGTTCTTCTTCAGGGGGCCCTCATTTCTATAGCCCCTTGACGCAGAAACCCCCCCCCTTATCTATGATATAACTGGCCTAGGTAGAGGTCCCAAAACAAGAAAGTGGCTACTAATACCACCAGCGCCGGGCATCCTCTTCCCCAGCCTGAGTCATCTCTTTGCAACCGGCCGGGAGTGAATGAGGTCTTGAGGACCCAAATGCTGCTGTAAAGGAAAGTCTCACATTGGACAGCGGCAGATGTCCACCGAGACCAACCTCAGGCCTGAGAAGAAGGGGCCACCCAAGATTAGCAGAGGGAGGATATGCTGACAGACTGGTCTAGATAACAAGGTGGCCCTGCACCTTCCAAGCTAACGTAGCGCCTGTTGCCCCATCGCTTAAATAAATGTCGAAGGAGGGACCGAGCAGGTCACACAGTGATGAAAGTGTTTGCAAAGCTACAAACTGGGAATCTGTTGTGACATCTCGGGAGAAAGAATGCTGTATTACGGTTTGTCTCAATGCAGAAAAAATGCACACGACTTTGAAAAAAATTCAAATAAATCAAAACTTTGAGTACAACGTTTCCAATGGGATATGAATCCTAGCATTACCCTGGACTTAAAGACTGGAAAGTTAAGATCACATGTCTTTCTGTTAATCTTCTTAGCAAGAAGAGAAAAAGTGACTGAGGCCGTTCCCTGGAAGCCAACGGTAGAAACAATAATCCTACAGATGAGTCAGCTGAGCCCAAGCGCGGGTGGAGGTTGGGTTGGAGGGTGGAGGGTGGGTTGGAGGAGAAGGGGGGGGGTTGTCTGGATAAGCAGAGGGGCACAGTTTATGGACTGATTGATTAGAACAGACATGACGAGGACAGTTCAACTTACGAGTCGTCCAATTCAACAGCATCCATGGGGCTGGGGGGATCCATGCCGAGGCCTGAAGGGACACATTTGTCTCAGGTCAACACGAGCATCGGGTGGTAAAGTGGCACCAAGGGCCACATGAATACCGGTGGATTAGAGGCAAATACCCAACCGGCTTAAATGGAAACAGTAAATTGGGATTTGACTTTAAACAGAAACAAAAAGTTTTGAGGAAAAAAAAGAACATAATCTTTGCAAATGTACTTATGTACTAAAAAAAATAAAGACCACATCATGAGGACATTTGGTGACAGGAGATGCGGTAGATTTACATTTGTCCCCTTGGGCATCGCTTCCAACAGCATCAATTAGCAGAGACAAAAGCTTGTTCAGGGACTCACCAGCATCAGAGGAGACGTCAGAAGCGAAGGAGGGAATCTTCTCGAGGGGTGCGTGCTTTCTCCTTTTCGGGGTGTCGCATAGGCTGTGTGTGTGGGGAAACATGAACACGGGTCAGTGATGTGGACATTAAACCAAGCGGTGCACGCTATGAAGACACCAGGTTGCATCCACGTCTTGAACAACGGCAACAGTTAAAAGTACAAAAGAAGAAATAAGAGGTCAAATGTGACAACAATACCTTCCGAGTACGGCCAAGTTGTTCATGTCCAGGGCCAAATTGGTGACAGGAGACAGCACAGTGGCGGGTCCGGGGGACAACAGGTCCCTGCAGTGAGAGTTCTTTGTGCCCAACTCGGGCAGAAAGAGCGAGGAGAGCCCGGGGATCGCATCGGGCCTTCTTTTCAAAACAGCACTAACGGGACTAGTTGCGACAAAAATATCATCGGACTCCATCTTTACACGTCCGACGTGTTTGAATCCCGCAGACGGTGTCGCTCTGCGGAGGATCGGGTTGGAATTTTGGGGTCGGAAAGGCACGAATTAGCAAGACGGTCCAAACTTCAAGCTAACCCGGAAGCTAACCAGTTAGCTAGCAGCAATTTAAGAAAACATTCCCAAATGTAGCATCCGAAACACCGGGTGGAAGCGACTCGACGGTTTCGCGCGGACTCGAATTTGGATTCGGTTCTTCTAATTGCTAGAGCCACATAGCTGTTGTGTGTCAGAGAGCTGCGGCGCGGCGAACTCCCCCTCTGACAGCCCCTTGGTTTCTGAGAAAAAAAAGGACCGCAGCAGCACGTATTTATGTTCAAAATAGAAGCTCCGGAGCGGCAACATTTCAGCCAATCAGCGCTGTTGTTACACCCAGCGGACCAATCAGAGCGAGGGACGACGCTCCGCCGCTGTCCCGTCACCGGATGGGGGAGAGAGGAAGGAGGATGTGACACAACCCTTTAAAATATCCATCTTTCTTTCTTCTCTGATATCTTTTGTTCTCGATTCTCTACCGCGGGTTTTTTTTTTTTATCAATTGATTCATCGAAACAGAAAATATATGTACAGAACACTGATGAATAGATCTGCTTTTTGGACGTTAGATACATGTTTAGTTGAGTAAATGTGGAGTAGTAGTGCTAAAGTTTAGGTTGTGATCAGTGAAACAGGTCAGAGCTTTGCGAACCTCTATCTTGTCAAAATGGCTGCATTGCAAGTCAAAAAGAGGCGTAGTGTTTGTTCACAAAAGACAACAACACGTGAGCAGAAATCATGTGTATGCAATGACATTGTTACATGGTGTCATTGCATCGCTCTTATATTAAATAGATGAGTTAGTAAATCGGTTTTCCACTGATTACTTCCTTATTTGCGGTTTCTCTCCCTTCCAATCACACCAGAGCTCATGTTCCTTCTCTCTTCAATCCGGTCAAATGTACAAATGTTTCTAACAAGGACAAACGCAAACGACAGATTATTGACGCCGGATAAAGATGCATCAATTTAATGTCCAGCGTCACTCCTTGTCTGTAGTTAGAACGTTGGCAACTGGAGTCTGTGAAAAGTCACATATGTGATTTTATTTTAAAGAAGGAAACGATTTGCTTCTTCTGGTTTGCATTTGTTTCCTTTATGCAAGGCAGCAAACCGGTCAGTTTTAGTCTCAGTGCACTGCTGCTACTTCCTTTGTCTTGCAGCCGGCCTGTAAAGTCTTCTAGATAAGAACCCGATGTCTCGCTGTGTCACCTCAGGTTTCCTCCTCAGGCCTCCATTTTGAAAGGCTGGAGCGCTGTTGTTGCTCCGCTAACAGCGGCCATAACTCATGTTTATAACGTTGAACACAACATTTCTAACAAAACCGGCGCACACACCCCTGTAACTAGTCCAACCAGACTGCAGTTCAACCGACACAAACAGACAGATGTTCCCAGTAGAAACACCTCAACATTCAGCATACCTCTATACCTCTAAACAGGTTTATGCCGCTTCTGCAACTCTGCGTTTGATTCATTTTTAGATTCCGCCACCAGGAGTCCAGATTTCTCATGCGCAGTCCTGGTTATGTTTACTAAATGTGCAGTTGTGTTTCATTCAGATTCTGGTCTCTTGTCATGCAGGACAACGCCAGTTCTTTTGTATTCAGAAGAGGAGGCCTCTCAGTATCATTTTGAGCCAACCTGGAGCTGTGAGCACGGGGGCGTACTGACCTTCGGCTCGTGGAGGAACCAACGGTCTTTGTTCGGGTAAAGTATCTGCGTGATTTGCATCCCCGATGTAAATGAAGTTTAATGAACTTCCCTGGAGAGGTTCCACGGGGCCCCACACCCCACATCTGAAAAGAAGAGACAGGATCAGGGGGGGGCGGGTTACACCTTCTTCCCTCACACACAGACCAGCACCCACGGGTCTCTGCAGACACTCCAACAGACCCAAAGAGCCACAGTCTGTCGACGCACCGAGGCTCCGGAGGCTGAAACACGAAAACACAAAGATCACGCCGTCTCTCTGTCGTGCAAGAATCACATCCTTCTAAATCTTGTGTTTCTTCATTTACGGACTATTTAGGTTTATTATTTAAAAAGGCTTTCTGGACAACGTTTGTTGTATCTCTGCAAAGATATTTCACAGTTTATCTTGCAATCATTACCCGAGAGTGAGTAACCATGAAAAAACAACTTGATAACTCTGGAAGGAGAAAATTAATCAACAACAATTTTGATAATAAAATTCAAAATAAATAATCTTGCTTGAGTTTGCTGCTTTTCTCTGATTTTTCATGAGCCATGATATCTTTGGACTATTGGTCCGACAGAATCACATCTGGAGACGTCAGTTGGACTTATTTTCCACCAGGTTGAAACATCAGCCCATATCATCTAATGACCGTATCAATATTAATGTGGCTTTTTCTCTTGACCTGAGGCTCTTTGCCTGGCTTGGTCTCCCCTCTAAGAAATGGTTTCAGCCTCGATATCTGACTGAACCACACAAATCATGTGCACAAATCTGAGTCAGCGACAATGTGATTTGTTTTTAACAGCTAGAACTTCCTTCCCTAAAAATGAGGAAGAACCTGCAAAGGATATGACTTAACAAACATGGTAAAAGCTGAAATAAAAAGTGCTCTATGGATAAAGTGTCTTTCCGCAGTGTCCTAAAGGAAGTCTGTATTCATCTGGCAGGTAAACACACGGTGTGGCATCAGTCGGATCGAGGAAACCTGCAATCGGGACTTTCACAATCGGTTCTTCCTCACCGACGACCTCATTACTCGACAATCAGAGCAGCTTTCAATCCCATCATTTACAGCTGGGACGAGCTGGGAGGGAGGGGGGGTTACACACACACACACACACACACACACACACACACACACACACACACACACACTGACACACACACACACACACACACAGACACACACACACACACTGGCACACACACACATACACACACACATACACACACACGCACACACACTGACACACACACACACACACACACACTGACACACACACACACACTGACACACACACACACTAACACACACTGACACACACACACACACACACACAGTGACACACACACACTGACACACACACACACACACACACACACACACGCATGCACACACAAACCCCCACACACACACACACCCAGACACACGCACACACACACACCCTCACACACACACACACGGACACACACACACACATGCACACACACACACCCACACAGACACACACACACACACACACACGCATGTACACACACACACAGACACACACACACACACACACTAATGCTCATAAAGCGCATATATATATGCACAGTAACACATTTTATTTTACAATATATACAATATGTATATATATATATATATATATACAGTAATTAACATGAAGCCCTTAAGGGAGCTTAGTTGCACATGTTGGATGCAAAATCGAATCATACTTGTGTACCTGTACAGGTACCCTCAAAGCTGTACTTCAACACGGTATTTGTGTCAATGGTCTGGGGAGGGACAACTGACGGCAGGACGGCAGAGAGCGGCTGAGTGGACCCTTACTTGTGCGTTTGCATTTGTGTTATCTGTAAATGGGATGCAGCAGCATTACCATTGACGCTAGTTCAATCAGCCCATTGACACACACTCAGAGATAAAGAGCGGCCAGACGGTCTGATGACGCACCGTTTACATGAAAATGTCTCCCGGCGTCATTCCCCAGCAGTGTGCGTTGTGTGTTTTCTCTCCCGGCTATAAATGGCCTTTTCTTTCCCCCACAGGAGCCAAATACTGTGACCAATAACTAAGAGACCCGCCGCTACATGTATAATCAAATCTTTTTTCTGCATGTAAATCCTGCCCTGTGTAACCTCGGTTCTTAATAATGAAAAGTACATAGAACCTTTGTTGTTTGGCTGATGACAGCGGCATTAATCTCTAGTGAGTAAATAAATACTAACCTGTGAGAGACTCCAGATGATGAAGAAGGCGATTAAGTCCATGATGAAGAAAACCAGCAATACTATGAAACATCAATCAAAGTCTAGTAGAACCTACGACGTTTCTAGAGGACTTTTCCTGATTCCTCATTTCATTTCATCCTTCTGTCAAACCACAATCTCTACTTCCGTTTGGGTCACTCAGTGTAATAATCAGTCCGGTGGACTTTTTCTAAATTACCATTATGGACAGAGCCAGGCGAAATGTTTTCTCCTTGTTCTGGTGTTTTTGCTAAGCTAAGCTAAGCTAAGCTAAGCTAAGCTAACTGTCTGTAAGATCACAGACACGATGGTGGTATCGATCTACTACCTGTAACGACTGTGCAGAACAACAGGACTCCCTCAACACACCAGCTGGTCCATAAGTAATATTATTACAGTATTTCTGGTTTCCCCCCGTCAGACTTTTCTGATAAGAGTCTTTTCAAAATGAGCACGAGAGAAAGGAACCCATGCAGATATGTTGCAGGGCATCGTGTTTCCTGTCAGTAGATTAAAGTAAAGGACAGTCCGCCTGTGGGTTTTGTGTGTGCTTGTCCACAATTAGGCTGATGTGAAGATGTGAGGAGACCTTCAACCTCGCCACCACTTTAAAGACATCTGATTTTGAGGAAACACTTCAGTGGATCTGCTGCCGTGGAGAAGGTTTAATAATTAACCACGCCGTCTTTTCCTGCTCTAAACGCTCCTAAAGAGAGGAATGAAGGCACATGGAGACGACCCCCCCCCCCCCCGCACCTCCTCCCTGGGCTTCATCCATACCATTGTTCCCTCTTATTGTCCCCGCTGGGGTCAATGCAGACTCTCCCCATGTAAAGGTCATTGGTCCACTGGTCCCCCACTGACCAGCCCCCCCCCCCTCACACTCTCACACACAGACCTCCAGGCTCAGGTCGAGGAGGAAGGAGCAGACATCTGCCGGCGGAGGAGGCCCGGCCGCCAACAGATGGACGCCTGGGTGGCGGGAGAAGGCTTTCGGCCTCCGGCCGGGAATTCTGGAGGCAAAGGCAGACAAAGGGGCGAGGAGGGGGGGAGGACGGCAGGCCGTCAGGGTGTGTGTGGGGGTCAAAGGGGGTCAGAGAAAGGAAGGAGGAGGATTTGAGTTTATTTTACGTGACGATTGAGATGCATATAAAATTAAACACAGCAGAGTATAAAAAAACGTATCAGTACCTAATCTGGATTTCAATGCGTTTATTTATTCGAAAGCAGACAATATGTAGATTATTTATTATTGTACAACCTTTTGTATTTTGACTGTCTTAGTTTGTCTCTTAAAATAGAGTAATAGAGTAAAATAGAGTCTTC